TGCCCAGCTCACCCGGCTTGAAAGGCTCGGCCACCTCTGTCTGGAAAGCGGGCAGCTCCGGGATGGTGCCGGGGGCAGAGGGGGCGATGCCCGGGCCCAGGTCGGCGCTGTACATGAGGTCGTCCGCGATGCCGGGCAGGTCGGGCAGGTAGGACGGCACGTCGATCTCGGGCACCTGGCCCAGGTCTGGCACGTAGAAGTAGTTCTCGGGAACCTGCAAGGCATGTGTGAGCGGTGGCTGCCCTGCGGGGACGCGATCCGCAGAGTCACCCGGGCCCAGCCCTCCACACCCGGGATGGGCGGCGCTCAGCGCCCCGCCTGCAGCGCCTCCTCCACCTGCTGCTCCAGCTGCTCTCGCCGGCTGATGGACAGAGGGGCGTCGAACAGCTTCTCCTCCTCCCCCGTCCCCAGCGTCACGTGCGTCTTTGTGACAGCCCCCGCCAGCGGGTCCAGGAAGACGTACTTCTTGTACCTGCAAGGGGGGCGGCGTCAGTCCGCCTCCACGCCGTGACCGCCCCTCCTGCCTTGGGGGTGCAGCCTGCTCTGCGGGGCCCAGGCTTTCCCGGATCTCACACCCGCCTTGCACCCGGCCTGCCGCCCTCCGGCCCCCGCCCCGCCCCCGCCCTCCGAGCCCCTTCCGGCCTTACAGGTTCTCCGTGGTGTTGAACAGCAGCAGGGAGCTGACGGAGCTGATGTTGCTGGGGAGACCCCCGAGCCCCTCCTCGGCCTCATCCTCGGGCTCCGGCTTGGTGCTCACGCACACGGGGAAGTACTTCAGCTTCTCCTGGGGTGGCGACAGGGATGCCGGCGGGTTCAGCGCCAGGCCCAGTGCGCCGCACGCTGTCCCGGCCAGAACCCTCGCGGCGGACCCCAGCACCCCGTGCCCTGGCCTGGGCCGGGGTCCCACACCTGCAGGGCCCGCTCGTCCAGTGGCCGGTGCTTGCTCTGGATGCGGTGGCGCGGCGGGCGCTGTAGGCCTGGGTCCCGCGCGCCGGAGAAGATGGAGCTGTACTCCCGCAGGCGCTCGGGGGCCGGGTACTTGGCGCTGGAGAACACCTGCGGGCACACGACACCTGAGGGGCCCGCGAGGCGGGAGAGCCGCGGGTGCCAGGTGCTGGGCGGGCGCGGGGCGGGGACCGCAGGGAGACAGCGCGAGGCCGGGCTGACAGCGGGGCGCAGGCCGCGCAGGACCGGCGGGCACAGGCTCCCGCTACCTTGATGGCCTTCTTGCTGCCCTTGATCTTCTCGATTTTGGCCTGGCTCGCGGAGATCCTCTCCCCAAGGACCTGCAGCTGGCTGAGGCTCAGCTCCACCCGCTGGGAGATCCTGCAGGACAAGATCACGGGCTGCGGACGCGCGGGGCACCGCCTCCCGGCCCTCAGCTCGGCCCCCTCTGCTCCCCGGGCCGCCCCTGCCGCTGTCGCCGTCCAGCGACCCACCACGATCGTCCTCCAGGGAGGGTCTGGACTTCGCGGTGCCCAGTTTCTTGGGGCCCGAGCCGGCACCTGCTCCGCCGCCTGAGGGACACGGTTCCTGCCCCCAGGAGTCCACGCCACAAGCAGGGGCAGGTGGGGCCC